AAATGTTATTAGTATCATACGAGTCCCAGAAGAAGAGAAGGAAAACGTGCAGAAGGTTTATTTCAGCAAATTCTAGCAGAAAACTTCCCTAATCTCAGGAAAGAAACAGACATCAGAATCCAAGAGGCATACAGAACTCACATCAAAATCAAGAAAAGCCAGCCAACCAGGACATATCCTAGGGAAATTTGCAAAAATAGAGAGATAAGGGAAAGATCCTAAAAGCAGCAACAGGGAAAAAAGTCCTTAACCTAACAACTGAAGACAAATCAGGTTTGCAGCAGATCTGTTCAGACAAACTTGGCAGGCCAGAAGGGAGTGCCATGATATATTCAATATACTAAATAGGAAAAATATGAAGTCAAGAAAAATTTATCCAGCAAGGCTGTCATTCAGAATAAGAGAGATAAGGAGTTTCCTAGACAAAAACTAAAGGAGTTTCTGATCAATAAACCAATCCTGCAAGAAATATTAAAGAGGACTCTGAATGGGAAGAAAAGAACAAAAGCACAGAGACTAGAAAGGAATGGAGAAAATCTCCAGAAACAATGACTTTACAGGAAATACAATGGCACTAAATGCATACCTACAAATAATCTCTCTGGATGTAAACAGACTAAATGCTCTAGTCAAAAGATATAGAGTACCAGGATGGGTAAAAACAAAAGAAAACAAAAAACCCAAGACCCATCTATAAGCTACCTATAAAGGACTCATTTTATACTTAAAGACAACTGCAGATTGGAAGTGAGGGGATGGAGAACCATCTATCTGGTTGACATCAAAAGAAAGCCAGAGTAGCCATACTTACATTAGACAAACTAGATTTTAAAACAAAGACTGTAACAAGAGATCAAGAAGGATACTATATCATAATTAAGGAGTCTATCCATCAAGAAATATAAATAATTATAAGTATTTATGCCCCAACTTGAAAGCACCCAAATTTAGAAATCAATTAATAAAAAACATAAAGAAACTCATTAATAATACTGCAATTAATAGTAGAGGACTTGAACACCCCACTTATAGTAATGAACAGATCATCTAAGCAGAAAATCAACCAGGAAATGATAGGTTTGAGTGACACACTGGAGCAGATGGACTTAACAGATATATTCAGAACATTTTATCCTAAGGCAGCAGAATACACATTCTTTTTGAGTGCACATGAAACATTCTCCAGAATAGATCACATACTGGGTCACAAATCAGCCCTCAAGTTCAAAATGATTGGGATCAACCCATGCATATTTTCTGATCACAACATTATGAAACTTGAACCACAAGAAAAAATTTGGGAAGATCATAAAAAAATGGAGGTTAAAGATCATCCTACTAAAGAATAAATGGGTTAACCAGGAGATTAAAGAAGAAATTTTAAAAATTACAAGGAAGCAAATGAAAATGAAAACACAACAGTTCGAAACCTTTGGGATGCAGCAAAGGCAGTCCTAAGGGGGAAGTATATTACCATAGAGGCCTACGTCAAGAAGCCAGAAAAATCTCAAATACACAACCTAACCTCACACCTAAAGGAGCTAGAAAAAGAACAGCAAGTGAAGCCTAAAGCCAGCAAAAGAAGGGAAATAATAAAGAGTAGAGCAGAAAAAAATGATATGGACACATACAAAAAAAGTAGAACAGATAATGAAACTAAGAGCTGGTTTTTTGAAAGAATGAATAAACTTGATAACCGCCTAGCCAGACTTATCAAAAAGAAAAGAGAAAGGACCAAAATAAGTAAAATCAGGAATTAAAGAGGAGTGATCACAACCAGCACCACAGAAATACAAACAATTATATGAGAATATTATGAAAAATTATGTGCCAACAAACTGAGCAATCCGGAAGAAATGGATAAATTCCTAGAAACATACAAACTACCAAAATTGAAACAGAAAGAAATAGAAAATTTGAACAGATTGATAGCCAGCAAAGAAATTGAATCCTCAATCAAAAATCTCCCAACAAACAAAAGTCCAGGGTTAGATGGACTAGTCCAAGGTTAGACTTCCCAGGGGAATTCTATTAGCCATGTAAGAAAGAGTTAATATCTATTCTTCTCTAACTGCTCCAAAAAATAGAAATGTAAGGAAAACTTATAAACTCATTCTACGAGGCCAGCATAACCTTGATTCCAAAACTGGACAAAGATCTCATTAAAAAGGAGAATTATAGGCCAATATCCCTGATGAACATGGATGTAAAAATTTTCAAGAAACCAGTATATTGAATCCAACAGTACAGTAAAAGAATTATTAACCATGATTAAGTGGGATTTATTTCTGGACTACAGGGGTGGGTCATAATTTGCAATTCAATCCACATGATACCCCATATTAATAAAAGAAAGGATAAGAACCATATAATCCTCTCAATAGATGCAGAAAAAGCATTTGACAGAATACAACAGACATTCTTTTTTTTTTTTTTTTTTGAGACAGCAAGCATGAGTGGAGGAGGTGGGGGAGGGGCAGAGGGAGAAGGAGAGACAGAATCTCAAGCCTGACATGGGGCTTGATCCCATGATCGTGAGATCACGACCTAAGCTGAAATCGAGAGCTGGATGCTTAATCGACTGGGCCACCCAGGCGCCCCATACAGCATCCATTCTTGACAAAAACCCCTAACAAAATACATAGAGATGGAACATACCTCAACATCATAAAGGCCATATATGAAAGACCCACAGCTAACCCCATCCTCGGGAAAAAACTGAAAGCTTTTCCTCTAAGGTCAGGAACAAGACAGCAATGTCCATTCTCATCGTTGTTTAATATAGTATTGAAGTCTTAGCCTTTGTTGTCTGATTAGACAATAAAAAGAAATAAAGGCATCCAAATCTGCAAGGAAGAAGTCACACTTTCATTATTTGCAGATGACATGATGTCAATCATGAAGGAAACCTGAAAGACTCCACCAAAAAATTGCTAGAACTAATACATGAATTCAACAAAGTCACAGGATAAAAAACCTACAGAAATCGGTTGCATTTCTATACACCAGTAATGAAGCAGAAGAAAAAGAAATCACAGAATCGATGCCATTTACAACTGAGCCAAAAATAGTAAGATAACTAGGAATAAACCTAACCAAGGAGATAAAAGATCTGTACTCTGAAAGCTATGGAACACTTATGAAAGAAACTGAAGATGACATAAAGAAATGGAAAGACATTCCATGCTCATGGATTCTAAATGTAAACATTGTTAAAATATCTATACTACCTAAAGTAATCTACACATTTAATGCAACTCAATAGCAGCAGCATTTTTCACAGAGCTAGAACAAATAATCCAAAAGTTTGTATGGAACCACAAAAGATCCCAATAGCTAAAGCAATTCTGAAAAAGAGAAGCAAAGGTGGAAGCATCGCAATTTTGGACTTCAAGCTGTATTATAAAGCTGTAATCATCAAGATAGTATGGTACTGGCACAAAAACATACACATGGATCAATGGAATAGAACAAAAACCCCAGAAATAGACTCAAAACTATATAGTCAACTAATCTTCGACAAAGCAGGAAAGAATATCCAAAGGAAAAAAGATAGTCTCTTCAATGAATGGTGTTGGGAACACTGGACAGCAACATGAAAAAGAATGAAACTGAACCACTTTCTTACACCATACACAAAAATAAATTCAAAATGGATGGAAGACCTAAACGTGAGACAGGAAGCAATAAAAATTCTAGAGCGTAACACAGGCAGCAACCTCTTTCACCTAGGCTAGAGCAAGTTTTTACTAGACACATCACTGGAGGCAAGGGAAACAAAAGCAAAAATGAACTACTGGGACTTCATCAACATAAAAATCTTCTGTACAGTGAAGGAAACAATCAACAAAAAAGGCAGCTTACAGAATGAGAGAAGATATTTGTAAATGACATATCTGATAAAGGGTTAGTATCCAAAATCTATAAAGAACTCAACAAACTCAACACCCAAAAAAACAAATAATCCAGTTAAGAGAGGGGTAGAATAGATGAAGAGACATATCTTATAAAGAAGACATCCAGATGGCTAACAGACACATGAAAAGATGCCCAAAACTGCTCATCATCAGGGAAATACGAATCAAGACCACAGTGAGATACCACCTTACCTGTCAGAATGGCTAAAATTAACAACATAGGAAACAAAAGATGCTGGCGAGGATGTGGAGAAAAGGGAACCCTCTTACAGTGTTGGTAGGAATGCAAACTGGTACAGCCGCTCTGGAGAACAGCATGGAGGTTCCTCAAAAAATTAAAAATAGAACTATCCTATGACCCAACAATTACACTGCTAGGTATTACAAAAATACTGATTTGAAGGGGCACATGCACCTTGATGTTTACAGCAGGATTATCAACAATAGCCAAATTATATAAAGAGCCCAGATTTCCATCTACTAATGAATGGGTAAAGATATGGTGTATGCAATGGAATATTACTCAGCCATCAAAAAGAATGAAATTGCAATGACATGGATGGAGCTAGAGTATACTATGCTAGGTGAAATAAGTCCTTAAGAGAACGACAAATATTCTATGATTTCATTCACAATAGATGAACACAGGGTAAGGGAAGGAAAAATAAGATAAAAACAGAGAAGAAGGCAAACCATAGAGACTCTTCAATACAGAGGAGAAACTGAGGGTTGCTGCAGGGAAGGTGGGGGGGATGGGCTAAATGGGTGATGTGGGTATAAAGAAGGCACTTGCTGGGATGAGCACTGGATGTTATATGTAAGTGATAAATCACTAAATTCTCCTCCTGAAACCAATTATGGCACTATATGTTAACTAACTAGAATTTAAACAAAAATTTGAAACGAAGAAAAAAAGTGGAACATGAACACACTGGGGACCTCGGCCCCATGATCCCAATGTCACCTTAAAGAGTTTGTGCAAGAAACAAGACACTAACACAAAACTATTTTCTTTTCAATGTTGAATAGTTTTATAAGATGTAAAGACAGGTTAAAAGTACAAAAACAAAGGGACTTGATTACCTGTGGGGACATGGACGAGTCTGACAGCGCTATCAGTTGTATTAACATGCTGCCCTCCTGCTCCTTTGGCTCGAAATGTATCTATTCGCAAATCCTTGGGGTCTATTTTCACATCTACCTAGAACCAAAAGTACAACATAAGTAAATTCTATGTTCAACAAATGCTTTAATACTTAAACTAAGAAAAAGCTTATACCAAAGAAAGAACTGTAAACTCCCTACACCAATGGATGCTATTTTTTTGACACTGATTTATGATGCTATGAGATCACGGAGCTAGGCAATCTTTCCAGTTTCCTCACCCACTATCCCACAAAGCCACATCGGATAGAAAATATGTGTGTATGTGCGTGTGTGTATGTGTTTATGTATAAAGTTGATCCTTATAATTCCCTGACTATATGCAAATTCATCCACTTTATTTACTCCCCAAATCAATTAGTGCTGCACTTTCATAGTCACTAGCAGACATGTGCAGAGCAGCAAAAACTCCAAGGTGCTCTATGTGTGCACATTCCCAGCTGAGGTCATAAGATGACACCTGGCTTTCTTTTTTCAAGTATGACCCGAGAATGAAGACAGGAGGGGGCAGAGCAGCGTCATGCAAGAAGCTTCGGCTCTTGCGTCAGCTGATGGGGTTTGAACCCCAACTCTGGCATCTAGTAAAGCAGCCTCAGGCAGGTCACCTAATACTTGTGAACCTCATTTTCTCTTTGTAAAATAAAGAAAACAGACTCTACCACGATGGGTTACTTTTTAAGATTATAATCCATGTAAGATAAATAGATACAGAAATACACATGTATACACACGTATATATATTTCCCCTAGGGGAAATGGTGGTTCAATATTTGCTAGATCAGTATTTGCTGAGATTTCATAGAACATGTGAATACTGAGAATCGACTGTGTGTACTTATTAATGGACTAAATGGTGGCATCCAAAAAGATACGTTCATGTTCTCACCACTAGAATCTTATTTGAAAAAGTTTCTGCAGCTGTAATTAAGATGAGCTCATCCTGGATTATTCAAATAGGTCCTAAATCCAATAAGAAGTGTCCTTAGAGGAGAAAGCAGAGGAGAGAACATGTGCATTCAGAGCTATATAGCTTGAACCCATGGAATACCTGGAGACACTAGAAACTAGAAGGAGGGAACATTCTTCCCTAGAAGCTCTGCAAGGAGTGTGGCCCTGCCAATACCTTGATTTTAGACTCCTGGCTTCTAGAACTGTGAGAAAATAAATTTTAAGCCCCTAAATTTGTGGTAATTTGTTACACACACACACACACACACACACACACAGACACACACACACACACACACACTACAAAATACGCTGTTTTTCAGGAGAGAACTAACATCTTGCTCCACATTTATCATTTATTTGTATGAATGACAGATAGCAAGTGTGAATTTTTGCTTTGTAAAGTAGAGTAATAACAGGGTCAGTTTTAGACTCTAATATACAACTTGGTTATTCTTTTGTTTCTTCTAAAATGAATACTATACTGTGTAGAAAAGATTATATAGCTTTTGTTAAAATATGCCAGTGCTAACTACTGTAAAATTTCAATAAAGGCTAAAGAAAAGTGGGGCACCTGGGTGGCTCAGTCGGTTGAGCGTTTGATTTTGGCTCAGGTCATGCTCTTGTGGTTCGTGAGTTCAAGCTACACATCAGGCTCACTGCTGTCAGCCTGTCAGCACAGAGCCTGCTTCAAATCCTATCCCCCTCTCTCTGCCCTTCCCCCACTTGCACTGTCCCAGAAAATAAATACTAAAAAAACCCAAACACTAAAGAGAAATTTCCTATTTTCCGTGGGTACAGTATATTAAATAGTTATGTAGTGAATATATGTATATGTCCTATTCTCTTAAATGTTATAGAAGCTATCTAACGACTGTTGGAACATGCTGAACAAAAAAACCAGTGACCTAATGATATAAAGAATTTTAAATGTCAATTAAAAGAATAAGACTTTGCTCTTTTATGAAAATGAAACTCCACTACATGAGTTTAATTTTCAAGAATATGAAGAAAACAAGAGGATAGGTGAAATGGGGTGGAAGGAAGAAGGAGGGAAGCAAGAAAACCATGGATTTGATTTCTAAACTACATAAATGCTCGCATATACCAAAAATGAAATTAGATAAAAGAAGAAAGAAAACTCAAATGTTAATTTCAAGAGGAACAGAAACAAATGAATCAAAATATTTACCATAAAGATATCATAAGCACATAGAAAAACAGTATTTCAGATGGTCTTTGAACATAGTGGTCTGACTATGCTTTCCTAGTAGGCAATATCCTAAGGACAGAAATCTTAAACAGTACTCAGTAGTTTACTGAGTAAATTTAAAAGCACTGCATATATGCTATATATAAAGAAAAACATAAATGTATTAATGTGATTAAGAAATAAAATTTTTACTCTAAGTGGAAAGAGATATAAATAAAAAATGCAAGATGGTGAGGAGGAAATACTTCCTTAATGTTAAATTTGAGTTGGTGGTAATAATAATTTGAACCAGTGATTTAAAATCATATTTATCTCCTAGCTCTTTACATTAAAGAATCTAAATGTAAGCACACATTAATAATAATAAGCATACATAGCACTTACCTCTTGATTTTTGGGCATATTTCTCACCAAAAGAAATGAGATCTGCCTCCAAGTCTGAGGCAGAAAGATAAAAGATGAACTTAGGATACCTAATTATACCAGAAAGCAAGGATATGTTCAAAAACTAATGGGGTAATTTAAAAAATGGCTGCCCTACAAAGGTGACTACTGACCAAATCAGGGACAATTTGAACATTAAACACAACAGTGATTATAATTTACAAATTTTAAGTCTATAATGAGGTCAATAATGAAATAATATTGATTTTATAATGAAGTAAAATAAAAGAGAAAGAAAGAAGGAAGGAGGAGAGAAGGTATTATGGAGGAAAGTTCTTTACAGAAAAGAATGCCAGTTAATAACGCAGAAGAAAGGACAGGTTAGAATATCACCATCTTGCAACCCGAAACAAAGTAACTGATTAAAGCAAAAAGATCACTAATGGATGTTAAGATCATTGAAAAGTTGTTGGAAATAGGATATATATATCCTAGAGACTCCTCAGTAATTGCAAAGAGAAAAATATAATTAAAAAATTTTTTTTAATGTTTTACTTATTTCTGAGAGAGCGAGAGAGACAGCATGAGCAGGGGAGGGTCAGAGAGAGAGGGCGACACAGAATCTGAAACAGGCTCCAGGCTCTGAGCTAGCTGTCAGCACAGAGCCCGATGCGGGGCTTGATGCGGGGCTCGAACCCACGAACCATGAGATCATGACCCGAGCCGAAGTCGGATGCTTAACCGACTGAGCCACCCAGGCGCCCCGAGAAAAATATAATTTTACAATGACAATAGTTTTGTGGTCACGATGTTTAAACTAATCCTCACTAAAGGTCAGACAATCTGATATTATGTGTCTTCTGATAAAATGCAACACAAATATAAGTACCTATAAAGTATTCCTTTTTTTTTAATCATTATTCATTTTTGAGAGACAGAGCCTGAGCAGGGGAAGGTCAGAGAGAGGGAGACACAGAACTTGAAGCAGGCTCCAGGGTGAGTTGTCAGCCCCAATGCTGGGCTTGAACACACAAGCCATCGGATCATGACCTGAGCTGAAGTCAGACGCTTAACTGACTGAGCCACCCAGGTGCCCCAGAAGTATTCTTGATCAAAATGAGTAATCTGGGGATTCTGGGTGGCTTAGTTGGTTAAGTGTCTGACTTTTGATTTCAGCTCAGGTCATTTTCTCAGGGTCATGAGTTCAAATCCCACACTGGGCTCTGTGCTCACATCACGCAGTCTGTTTCAGATCTTCTGTCTCCTCTTCTCTGCCCCTCCCCAGCTCATGTTCTCTCTCAAAAATAAATAAACATTAAAGAAAACACAAAAACGTATAACCTGAATGCATAGGATAAAGGAACAAGTTAAAGAGTACCATGAAGAAACAAATGAATCCAGAATGTGGGACATTCTACAAGACAAATAGTCTAGACTCTTCAAAAAATTAATGTCATTAAGCGGTGCCTGGGTGGCTCAGTTGGTTAAGCGTCCAACTTTGGCTCAGGTCATGATCTCACAGTTCGTGGTGTGTCAGCTGTGCTGACAGCTGGCTCAGAGCCTGGAGCATGCTTCAGATTCTGTATCTCCCTCTCTCTCTGACCCTCCTCTGCTCACATTGTCTTTCTCTCTCTCTCTCTCACAAATAAATAAAACCAGTAAAAAATTTTAAAAACTTAATGTCATTAAAAAAAAAAAAGGTTGAGAGGGGCGCCTGGGTGGCTTAGTCGGTTAAGCGTCCGACTTTCGCTTAGGTCATGATCTCGCGGTTAGTGGGTTCGAGCCCCGTGTTGGGCTCTGTGCTGACTGCCAGCTCAGAGCCTGGAGCCTGTTTCAGTCTGTGACTCCCTCTCTCTCTGACCCTCCCCTGCTCACGCTGTCTTTCTCTCTCTCTCCTAGAAATAAAATAAAAATCTTTAAAAAAAAGAAGGTTGAGAAACTGTTCCAATCTTAAAGATACATACAACTTAATGGCAAGGTGTGAAACTTGATGCGATCCTGATTAAAACAAACAAAAAAAGGCTATAAAATAATTCCACAGAACTCCTAAAACCTTCAGAATTTCCTATGATAAGACTGATGAATTGCACCAAAACCCATAAAATACCAGCAATAAACCTAACCAAAGAGATGAAAAGTCTATACACCGAGAACTATATAGAAAGCTTACGTAAGAAATTGAAGACAACAAAAAAAAAATGGAAAAATATTCCATGCTCCTGGATAGGAAGAACAAGTATTGTTAAAATGTCAATACTACCCAAAACAATCTACATATTCAATGCAATACCTATCAAAATAACACCAGCGTTCTTCACAGACCTAGAACAAACAATCCTAAAATTTGTATGGAACCAGAAGAGATCTCAAATAGCCAAAGAAATCCTGAGGGGAAAAAAAAAAAAACAACAAAGCTGGAGGCATCACAATTCTGGACTTCAAGCTGTATTACAAAGCTGTAATCAACAAGACAGTATGGTACTGACACAAAAACAGACACTTAGATCAATGGGACAGACAAGAGAACCCTGAAATGGATCCACAAACATATGCCCGACTAATCTTTGACAAGACAGTAAAGAATATTCAATGGGATAAAGAGAGTCTCTTCAGCAAATGGTGTTGGGAAAACTGGACAGTGACCTGCAGAAGAATGAACCTAGACCACTTTCTCTCTCACACCACACACAAAAATAAACTGAAAATGAATGAAAGACCAAAGTGTAAGATAGGAAGCCAATAAAATCCTAGAGTAGAAAGCAGGCAAAAACCTCTTTGACCTCAGCCTCAGTAATTTCTTACTCAACACATCTCTGGAGACAATAGAAACAGTAGCAAAAATTAGCTCTTGGGACCTCATCAAGATAAAAAACTTCTGCATGGTGAAGGAAACAATCAGCAAAACTAAAAGGCAACTGACAGAAAAGAAGATATTTGCAAATGACATATCAGCTAAAAGGTTAGTATCCAAAATCTACAGATAACTTATCAAACTAAACACCCAAAAAACAAATAATCCAGTGAAGAAATGGGCAAAAGACATGAACAGACATTTTTCCAAAGAAGACATCAAGATAGTTAACAGATACATGAAAAAATGCTCAACATCATTCGTCATCAGGGAAATACAAATCAAAACCACAGTGACATACCACCTTACACCTGTCAAAATGGCTAACATGAACAACTCAGGCAACAACAGATGTTGGCGAGGATGTGGAGAAAGAGGAACCCTTTCACACTGCTGGTGAGAATGCAGACTGGTGCAGCCACTCTGGAAAACAATGTGAGGTTCCTCACAAAATTAAAAAGAGGACTACCCTAAGACCAGGAATTGCACTACTAGCAATTTATCCAAAGGATACAAAAGTGCTGATTTGAAGGGGCACATGCACCCCAATGTTTATAGCAGCATTATCAACAAATAGCCCAAGTATGGAAAGAGCCCAAATGTCCAGGGATGGATGAATGGACAAAGAAGATGTGGTGTGGATATATATGCAATGAAATATTACTCGGCAATCAAAAAGAATAAAATCTTGCCATTTCTAACAATGTGGATCAAACTAGAGTGTACTATGCTAACTGAAATTAGTCCATCAGAGAATGACAAATATACGACTTCACTCATAAGTGGAAGTTAAAATACAAAACAGAAATAACATAAGGGAAGGGGAAAAAAATCATATAAAAACAGTGAGGGGGACAAAACATAAGAGACTCTTAAATATAGTGAACAAACGGTTGCTGGAAGGGTTGCGGGTGGGGGGATGGGCTAAATGGGCAAGGGGCATTAAGGAAGACACTTGTTGGGATGAGTGCTGGTGTTGTATGTAGGGGATGAATCACTGGATTCTATTCTTGAAATCACTTTTGCACTACATGCCAACTAACTTGGATGGAAATTAAAAAAATAAAAAAAAAAAAGACTGATGAAGGTATTTTGTCATTCACAACAAGCCCCTTTTTGAGTGTATGTTAATAAGAGGGGATTTCAGGAAAGCCCTTAGATAACCAAAGGATGGGGGCTGACTGCCAGAGGGACCAATCGTGTGACTGGAGGACTGGAATTTTCAGCTCCACCCCCCCATCCCCCAACTTCTAGGGAAAGGAAAGGAGCTGAAGGTCAAATTAATCCCTAATGCCCAATGGTTTAATCAAACATGGTCCATGAAAATCCCCAAGGCACAGGGTTCAAAGAACTTTCAGGCTGGGAACATGTGGAGGTGCAGGGAGGGTAGCGCACCTAGACAGGGTAGGGAAGCTCTGCATGTCTTCCCATGTACTTTGCCTCATGCTCCTCTCTCATTTGGCTGTTCCTGAATTGTATGTTTTGTAACAAATCACTTTTCATGGTAACCGAGTTCTATGAGCTACTTCAGTAAATGAACAAGCCCAAGGAGGGGGTTGTGGAAACCTCTCAATTCGTAGCCACTTGGTTGGAAGCACAGGTGACACCCTGGACTGGTGACTGGCCTCTAAGGTGGGTGGAGAGGGAGACCAGGTGAGAATGAGCTATTAGCCTGTGGGGTCTGATGCTATTTCCTGGCAGGTCATGTCAGAATAGAGTTGACTTGTAGGACAGCCACTTGGTGTCCACAGCTTACTGAAGAATTTCTTGGTGGTGGAAAAAACTCGACACACTCAGAGTGGAGAAGTATTCTGTGAGTAGACAGAATGCACAGGAGTTTTTCCTAGAAGACAGTATTACAGAATTATGGCTGATTTTCATAGATAATGGTATTGTATAGGTAGGAAAATATCCTAATCTTAAAAGATATTAAGTTGAAGACTTGGAGGATAAAGCCTCATAGTGTTTGCTATACACTTTATAGTTATTAAAAAAAAATATATATATATTTATCTATCTATATATATATATATACACACACACACACATAGGAATCCCATAAATGTGGCAAAATGTAAACAGGTATTGTACAGGTGAAGGTTACAGAAATTTTTAGTGTGGTATTCTTTCAATTTTCTGTATATTTAAAATAAAATTTTAAAAAGGAAAAAATAGGTAATAAGGCTGTATTCAACTAACAAGATAATAGACCCCACATAGGTATTAAATCCCTGCCCTCAACATGTTATCTGTGGAATTAATTTCCACAGATAAAACTTAAGCAACATTATAAAAGCTTTGTGAATCCTGTTTTATGAAGAGAACTGGCTTCTATTTAAAAAGCAAAACACTCTGGTGAGGAATAAGAAGGGCAACTTTACCTCGGGAAGAGTTAAAGATTTCCCAATAGAGACTGCAAAATTCAATGTGTATACTCGAAAATCAATTTCCTAGAAGCTAAACCCTGTCATCAAAACATTCATTAAGCTGGAGTAAGTTGCCAATGCCTCCTGGTAAGGTTACCTCATCTGGTTGAGGGAGGACAATGACCGACATGGTTCCTGTGTGAATACGTTGCATTCTTGATGACAGGCCCACCTCGGGGATTCGCTGAACTCGATGAATCCCACCTTCATACTTCAGATGCCTATAGACACCGTTACCAGAAATTCGGGCAGCTGCATGATGTAGCCCACCTAGGAACATAAAACCCCAAAATATTAATGAGTTCTACTTTGGAAGGGATCTGGATCTTAAATGCCCTTAATCCCAAGCCTGAATGCAAGTATAGAGCCAGAGATGAGAACATAAAGTGGATACGAAACTGTATCTTCCCAACGTCAACGTATTAATATATAAAAGGAAATATGCCGAAATATTATTCATGCTTATCTCTGGGAAACAGTGTAACAATATATATTTTATTTTACTTTTTATACTTTTATTTCTAAGTATTCTATAATGAACAAAATTTAAATTCTACTGGAAAAAAACAACACTGGGACATTTTCTTCACTGAACGACCCTATGTGAGTTTAGGCTAATATGGTGCCTATATAAAAGGATGCTCACTAACATAAGAATTTATTATTATTTTTTTATTATTTTTAAAAAATATTTATTTTTGAATGAGAGAGAGACAGAGCATGAGCAGGGGAGCAGCAGAGAGGAAGACACAGAATTTGAAGCAGGTTCCAGCTCTGAGCTGTCAGCACAGAGCCTGACTCAGGGCCTGAACTCATGAATAGTGAGATCATGACCTGAGCTTAAGTCGGATGTGTAACCTGAGCTACCCAGGTGCCCCTTGAAAAAAATTTTTTTAATGTTTGTTTTTGCATAAGAATTTTATAATGATGAATAATTCTATAGGTCCTCCCAAGTTTTCAAGAATCTGTTGAAATTAAGTTCTTGCTTATTTATCTATGGAATGCGAAGATAAACACCAAAAAACCTTAATGCCTAGGTTAGCCTTTTCTTATTGGGTATACTCATTTTTTAAAAAACCTTTTTATTTTAAAATAATATACAGAAATGGGGTACCTGGGTGGCTCAACTGGTTAAGCACCTGACTCTTGGTTTTGGCTCACGTCATGGTCTCACAGTTTTGGGTTCAAGCCGTGCATCAGGCTCTACTCTGATAGTATGGAGCCTACTTGGGATTCTCTCTCTCCCTCTCTCTGCCCCTTCTCCACTTGCACTCTGTCCCTCTCCAAATAAATAAATATATGTGTGTGTATACATACATGTATGTACATACATACATACAGACATAAAAAGCCACATGAAATAAATGGTTTAATGACCACAAGACCAAGAAAAAGAACTTTGCCAATTACCCCGAAAGCCCTGCCATATGCCCATTCCCAGTTACAATCCTCACCCTTTCTCATGAGTAACTATGATCCTGACTTTGGCTATTATAATTTTCTTACCTAAGTGCTAAAGTTTAGTCGTGTCCATTTAAAAAAGTCTGATGTCTTTTAAAAAATTTATTTATTTATTTACTTACTTACTTATTTATAGTAATCTCTAACTCCAAAGTGGGGCTCAAACTCATGACACCAATATCAAGAGTCGCACATGTTTCCACCTGAGGCAGCCAGGTGCCCCAAAAAGTTTGATGTTGCTTCAATCTCTTACTCTATACATTCATCATCCATCTCTTTTGTTTCCTACAAGTTACTGTTAAGGAAACTGGGCTATCGACCTGTAAAAATTTCTCACAGTATGGATTTCCTGATGGTATACTCTTAGTACAGTTCAACCTGTTCTTCTGCCCTGTGCTGGCTGCAGTTTGGCAGCTGGATTCAGAGACTGTCAGACACCTGTTTGAGCTCCTTGGCAAGACTACAGGTGCACATAGGTATAGGACTGTTTTCTTTCTTTTTATGGTCTTGACAGGCTTTGATGTTTAATGTATCACAGGGGTTATAAAATAGTGGTATTCTAATTCTGTAATTTCTTTCACTTATTATTGGCTAATATACATTTATAAAGAGACATTTCCCCTTGTCTACTAGTTGCTACAGTTATATAGGAAAGGCATGATAAATACTTGATTCTATCCCTTTGTCAGTTTTACCAATATGTGTATTTGGACAAATTACTCTATCTTCTTGAATACCAGATAAAGAAGCTGACTAGCATTTAGGGGTCGGATGATATGAAAAATGTAACTGTTTATCATTCATACTCAGTGCAGTCAGATGGTCATATTATGAAAGATATCCAGAAACTGAGACAGGGTGAGGCCACAACAATTACAATTTTCCATCTCACATTCACTCTGTACTTGTATTATTTATTATTCCCCTCATCCCCCTTTACCTACTTCATGCTGAGGGCACATATTTGAATTTATGATGGAAAGGAGAAGGCTGCAGCTTTACTGTACAGATTATTAGAGTCAATCTTAGGCTGCCTGGGTTCAAATTTAAGATCTTCCTCTTCCTAGTTGTGTGTCCACAGGCAAGTTACTTCATTTATTCATGCTTTGGTTTCCTTTTTTGTAAATAGTAATCATAACTAGGGCTACTGTATGGAAACCATTCATAGTGCAGACTATGTGAGTAGTGCTTCAAGGCATAAGTAAGTGTATGACACAGACCTGAATTCAACCTACCTCCAAGGGTTGTTGTGAGGAATAACTGAGATAAACACTTGGAGAGCCTTTAGCAGTGTTGACATTTAGCCATCAATAAGTATTAGTAGTAACTGGAACTGTATCATTGGCTCTCCTGGGCCAGTTGATATCATGTGGAAGAGAATGATGATCAAGATACCTGTGAACTAGGGCACCTGGGTGGCTCAGTCAGTGAAGCGGCCAACTTCGGCTCAGGTTGTGATCTCACAGTCCATGGGTTTGAGCCCCATGCTGGGCTCTGTGCTATCGTGACAGCTCAGAGCCTTGAGCCTGCTTTGGATTCTGGGTCTCCCTCTCTCTCTGCCCCTCCCCTGCTCCCATGCTCTCTCTCTCCAAAAAAAAAAAAAAAAAAATCCTGTAAGCTAAAATTATGATGTAGGGCAGAAGAATTGATGCACTTCTGGTAGGACAGTGGGGTGCAATGCTGGCCTTGCCAGCTGAAAGAAAAGTGCTTCTGGTGGCCCTAATTGATAAGTATGGAGAAAAAAAGCATTTGTCAGATCAATGGCTACATAGCAGGTATCAGGGGCTGTGAATTTGCTCAATGCTCAAGTAAAGAAACCACATCTGGTACAGCAACTGTCATTAGAATCACCAGTTGGCTAAGCTTATAACATCCCACTGTCATTCACTGGGATCTGATCTACCTTCTTCATAGGTCAAATAAACAAATTGAAAAGGGACATGGTAGGAATCACGAACCTTGCATCTTTCAAGTCCTTGATGGTGGCACTAATCTCTGCAATCTCTAGAAATGCAGGATTGCTTGTGGGTTACTATTTTCCTAGGTAGAGGCAGTGCTGATGGCTCCTATTTGGCCTTTGCCACCATATAGTCCTTACCCCACAGGTCAGAAAAATAATACAGGGATTCTGCCAGCTGAGTGTATCTGTCCCAATTATGTATCCAGAACTGGGGAAACCACCACAGGACGGGTTTGGGAACCCACCAGGCCCACTGTGAGAGGAACTTGTGCTAAAACTCTTCTTCACCTGACCTCCACAAGCCTCTCTTCTAGTGATGGGCCACAGTGATGTTTTGGGTCTCCTGGAATTAGTGTCATTTCAGAGCCAGTGGCCAGTAGTCCCTGAAAAGTCTGGTTGTTTCCTTTTCTGTAAGGAACGGTTACCCTGGGAAAAGGCCACAGATCCTTTTTGGGAGAATGCTGAGAGAAGAGTGAAAAGCATACATATTTGGCAATATCCTGGGGTCCTTCCTCAAGGGGATCCAGCCTCCCCTCTATTCAAGGGGTTTCGGTCTATAAACTTGCTCAAGTCTGAGAACCGATTGAGGAGCCATGACTTGTTTTCAAGGTTAAAGTTAGATTTCTGTTCACTTGACGTAAGACTTTTCTGCTTATACATATCAAGTAAAAATTTACGAGGCTTCCTATCTATTTTAACTTTAGAGACGTCACAGTCAAGTAGCCAATGCCACAGGTCTAGGTGCAGCAGACTACTCTGACTGCTGCTTTGACTCTGCTGTCCATTACCATAACCACACCCACCCTGCCTTTGGCTGCTGAGTGCCGCCACTTGCCCCCTGCCACCTGGAAAGCCAGTTACTCCCACTGCATTTAGGTTTCCCAATTCAGCTGCCAAAGTCCCCACTGTAAGGTCTGGCTGACAGAGAAGAGCAATCAGACAGCTCTTCAAGGACGCCAGGGCTCCCCTTAGGAATTTATTTCTCACAGCTGTGATAAAAAGTATGTCTTCTGGACACATAAAAATAACCATCACTTTACTTTAAGTGACCTCTCCCTAAATTTAACTGGCAAGCAGAGAATAATAAAACATAATTATAAACATTCAACTGTTGGGAAGGAGGAGATAATGTAATACATTTCATAGAATCCTTTTAACTTGGAAGACATTTCAATTTATCAGATACCCAGTATACAGAATAACACAGTGTCATGGGGCACCTGGGTGGCTTAGTCGGTTAAGCGTCCGACTTTCGCTTAGGTCATGATCTCACGGCTCGTGGGTTCGAGCCCCGCGTCGGGCTCTGTGCTGACGGCCAGCTCAGAGCCTGGAGCCTGTTTCAGTCTGTGACTCCCTCTCTCTCTGACCCTCCCTTGCTCACGCTGTCTCTCTCTCTCCTAGAAATAAATAAAACATTAAAAAATTAAAAAAAAAAAAAAAGAATAACACAGTGTCAGACCTATACTACACATCCAGAACTACCGCCTCTACTGCTTCCACAAAAACTATCTTGTAATCATTTGGTTTGGACTATTTATGGAATGACTGAGTATTATCTGTATCTGCATCTACAGTCACAAAAGACTTTAAGTCACTTAATGCATGAATTTTTGCATTAAAGTATGTTTCCTTTCAACCTTAGCTTTTAGGGCTGTGTGAATCTTTGTGAGTTCCTCTCCATTTCAATTAAATACTAAAACATATATATAGAATTTAACATACATATTTTATAAGGTTGGTGCTTTTTACCCCTTCTCTATTTTAGCCTTCCTATTCACACCTTTTCTTCTCCTGATTATAACTAAATCAACTTTTAAGTATTTTATAATTTTAATAAGTAGAGGTTTATTCTTAGTCTTTAATTAAAAAAATTTTTAATGTTTATTTATTTTTGAGAGAAAGAGAGAGAGAGACAGAACACAAGCAGGCGAGCGGCAGAGAGAGAAGGAGACACAGACTCTGAAGCAGGCTCCAGGCTCTGAGCTGTCAGCAGAGAGTCCGATGCAGGGCTCGAACCCATGAACTGTGAGATCATGACCTGAGCTGAAGTTGGACGCTTAACCAACTGAGCCACCCAGGTGTCCCACTTGGTCTTTAATTTTAAAGGTATGGAGTAAAATATTTAAAATTTTCCTTCTTTAAAAAAAAAAGTAGTTTTGGGGGCACTTGGGAGGCTCAGTTGGTTGAGCATCTGACTCTTAATTTCTGCTCAGATCATGATCTCTCGGTTCGTGAGCCCATGTGGGGCTCTGTGTTTAGGATTCCCTCCCTCTCTCTCTGCCCCTCCCTTGTGTGCACGCTCTCTCTCTCTCAAAATAAATAACTTTTTAAAAACAGTCCTTTTTACTTTTTAAAGTAGCTCTATTTAATTTTTCCAGTAAGTCAGTCTATCTTAAAAGAAAGGTTTCCCACACATTGTCTAGGGATTGTTTAGGCTGCTCTACACCCTGGAACAGAATCTGTCTTCCTGTTTTTATTGAGTTCATCTTTCGTTCTTGAAAACTGAATTCAAAATATACATCTGGGAGGTCACTGGCGACATTTGCCACTATTCTCTTTTATAATGCTGTTTCTAAAAATTTTATTTAAGTAATCTCTATACCCAACATGGTGCTTGAAGCTATAACCCTGAGATCAAGAGTAGCATTTCCTATGACCTCCTATCACAAATACGCTCTGGGTAAACTGGCCTCTTCACTGTCCTTCACACACACCAAGATTTTTCTTGCCACCACGTGTCCGCCCTGGCTGCTCGTTCCCTCTGCTTTCAATTCCTCTTTCTTGACCACTGGCTGTTTGAAAACCTGTACCAGGCACAGCATTCTTATTCATTCATTTTCCTCCACAGTTTGACTTACTTTGATCCTTCTTCCTTTTTCCTGAGAGTGTGTGGTTTATTGCTGAGTATCAATGTATAACCAAGAAGATTAAAACTTTTATTCGGCTTAAAAGAATGGGAAAAAAAATTACTACCAGATGTTCTGATTTAACATAATTGAGTGTTTAAAAGTTTAAGGACTTGTATTGTTTGGTATTGTTTACATTGTATAAGTTTTTATCTGCCCAACTAGAGTGGCGTTTTAAAAATAAAGACAAATGATTAACTTTATCTGCCTTTCCATAAAAATTGAATACACAAAAAAGAAAGAGAGAGAGTAAATGCAAAGTCAGGAAACTCACACATGGTGCTAAAAGGAAAGGTAGAGAAAATGCTACTAAGGGCAATGAAATGAAGAGAGAAGTTGAAAGAATAAAAATGCGAGAAAAGTTTTTGAGATACTATGAAATAGGGAGAAGACTTTTTTTAGCTTCAACATTACAATAATAAGAACATAAGGTAGATGAAATATATTCAAAAGAGAGCCTGAAGAAAGTTCAGAAATTTAAAATCCTTTTTGAAAAGGATTGAAGACTGAAGAACGATTTCAATGGATTTAGCAGAGTGAGGAGGAGAGGCATAAGGCTGACACACTGAAAGACCAGATCCTTGGAAAGATTATTTTGTTATGTGTATTTAACCTTTGAGATTATAAAAATTTAAGATGTTAAAAAAGAATCTAATACATCATTAGCCACTCAGTCGAACTGATTACACTTTCAGGTTGTATCACATAAATAATGATAAAGTTGTTAAGAGCAAAAACCTTAACATATCTTTCTTTGAATAGAAAGCTATGAGTTTCAAGGCAAGGTATCTATCTATTCTCCCCAGGAAAATTTTCTCTAATTCAGACATTCCTTCCTCCACTACTTTCCATTCTCTTCTCAGTTAAGACCTCTATTAGGGTAAAGCCGCTGAGAATGAGGAGTCTGTTTCATAGCATTTAGCAGATACAGATAAAATGTTTTTGAAAATGGGAGGGGTACCTGGGTGGCTCAGTTGGTTAAAAGTCCATCAGACTCTTGATTTCCACTTAGGCTGTGATCCCACGGTTTGTAGAGCAGGGCTCGGTGTTGGACTCTGTGCTCATAGAGCGGAGCCTGCTTGAGATTCTCTCTCCCCACTTCTCTCTGCCCCTCCCCAACTCGTGTATGTATGCACTCTCTCTCTCAAAATAAAAAAGAAAACTTTAAATAAAAAATGGGACGACATGGTTCTAATGAAGATCAGAAGTAAGACAATTTTTTAGCATCATCTATGGACCAAATCCTCAAATATGCCTACCATAATCAGCTGGTGTATAATTCAGAAGTTCAAATTTCCAGTTTTTATAGCTTGAATAATTCTGGTACATATCAAATATTTCCCGGGTAAACTGCTGGCAGATATCACCTAAAAATATATATATATAAAAAATATTCAGTCAGCACAGATTTTGAAGACAGCCACTCATAGGTACAGGCCCCGTGGGAAATAAGGAGTAACTATTTCCATAGTGAAACACATTTAATGGACTTTTAAAGTTAAAGTGTGTCAAACCAAGGTAAAATTTAAATATTTTTTCTTGGATCATTTACAATAAAATTATTAAACTGACCTCCAGTAGTTCTTCCAGATGTCACCTCTAAAATAACATCATTTTTGTCATATTTCTCCTTTGGCACTAGACTCTGGAAAAGCTGAAAAAGGGGAAAAAAAATCAGTGTTTGCGTGTATATTTAATATGGTATACTATTGCTTGATTTTAGATAAAAGACCTCCATAAAAAAAAATCAATAATTAACACAATTATATAGCACCCCAACAAGGTCTAATCATTAAATGCTATAATAAGTGGACCAGACCTAGGGGCGCCTGGGTGGCTTAGTCGGTTAAGCGTCCGACTTTCGCTTAGGTCATGATCTCGCGGTTCGTGGGTTCGAGCCCCGTGTCGGGCTCTGTGCTGACTGCCAGCTCAGAGCCTGGAGCCTGTTTCAGTCTGTGACTCCCTCTCTGTCTGACCCTCCCCTGCTCACGCTGTCTCTCTCTCTCTCCTAGAAATAAAAAAAAAAAAAACATTAAAAAAAAAAAAAAAGTGGACCAGACCTAAAATAAATGATCAATTCATGCTAACAATGGAGGTACTTGTCAGGGTATTCCTCACAATGCTATCAGATTATCTTAATTTTCTAACATGTCCAAGTTTAGATCAAAGTCTAGAGTGTTTCATTCAATTTTTTTTCAGATTTTGCCTCTTATTAGTTTTAAACAGTAGCTTCTTTCATCTAATGAATGAAGTAAAGCTTTGAAAGTCTTCACTTGCAGAAAAAAAGGACTCTTTCCATATGGCTGTGTATTCTCTCCTGCCATAGAGGACAGCAGACCTCAGGTCATGCCCTGTGTTCTCAGTAGAGCTTTTCTGCTTAAAGAGTATATTGAGGTCCCCTAGGATAAGGCCTAAGTAGTTTGAACCATGACAAGAAAACAAGGGGCTTCCTAATAAAGAAAGTAATCAGCATCCCTCTAAAGGAGAAAAAGGAAGCAGTTTTGTTTTTGATTACTAAAACGTCCTGGAAATCAAACTAAAAGTACCTACTGCTAATTTTTGAAATACGCCGTCTCTGCTAGAAATGATAGTCTGAGGGAGAGAGTATCAGACCAAGAGTGACACCCTACTTCTGCCTTTGACTTGCTGATTAAATCACAGTAACCAATACCTCCACACCTCATTCCCCTCAACAAGCCCCACTATGCATTCCCAGAGTAGGGAGACTGAAAGAAGGAAGATGGCGAATAGCACAGAAACAAAGATGGTATACAGACAGCACTGTATTTTTCACCGTCTTTTAAAAAAATTTTTTTTAATGTTTTATTTATTTCTAGGAGAGAGAGAGAGACAGCATGAGCAGGGGAGGGTCAGAGAGAGAGGGAGTCACAGACTCTGAAAAAGGCTCCAGGCTCTGAGCTGGCAGTCAGCACACAGCCCGACGCGGGGCTCGAACCACCGACCGCAAGATCATGACCTAAGCGAAAGTCGGATGCTTAACCGACTAAGCCACCCAGGCGCCCCTTTCACCATCTTTTAAACAAATCATCCGCTGAACTACAAGGAGCTAAAGGCTTGTGTGAACCAATTGTGTCTATACTCTTCGGTTTGTTTCATTCTAACCAGAAAGCAAATTTTCAATCCTTAATTAACACAATCACTATGAACACCTCCCCTTTTCTAAGGTTTAAAAACTATCGATTCTTCCTCTGGGTGAACTAAATTTCTCTACCAACATCTGTCTCCTTGCTTGGCAAGTTAATAGCTTTGGAATATGGTTGCTCTTGGAGAATGGGGAAAGCTGATGTTTTATTCTTTGGCATCCCAATCACTTCAATCCCATTATTCAATCTGGAGCAGATTACAGTATTAAACCCAGCTTAATCACTTATTATAAAAGGAGCCTTAGTAAACTGGTGTTTGGAAAGTACTTTGAGCACAATATATCCTAGTAAAACAGTATTCTTTTATATTAACACAATCGAGTAGTCTGCCACCTAAAACATACCTCACTGTATAACATACTGATTTTCTGAATAATGGTTTGCCTCTCTTCCAATGCAAGTTCTTGTAACTGCTTTTCATCTTGTTGATTTAGACCTATAATGCAGCAACAGAAATGATAAATTTTTAAATACTCACAGAGACACTCATAAATAGCTACCTAATCTCTGCCTACTAAATTTTATTTCAGTTGTGAAGGAAAGGAATTATACAAAAGAACAGTTAGAATGGTTAGAGAATATCAATTAATAGGTACTTGTGAAGTATATCTAAGAAAAGTCAGTGTGAAAAGAAGTATGATCACTGCCCCAAAGAGCTTATGATTTGAATGTCTAGAAGTAATTCTAGAAGTCGGTGATAAATAAAACAAGTTTGAAAAGGAACTGGTTAATTAAATATAAACTCAAATAAGGACAGTTTTGGAGTAAATTGGGGTGACCACTTTTTGTCTGAAAGGTAGCAGCCATTACTCCGCACACTGGGTAATCTAGCATGGTTAGTAGAGCCTGCATTTTTTTCAAAGTCAGAAACAAGAACTCTGAAAAGTTTGAAATCTCTTGAAACGTTTATACTTCAGTAAACACTTTTTAAAAACACCATGTGGGTCAAACAAAACATCTTTGTAACCTCTGTTTTATGGAAACAATGGTCCTTTCCACATTATTTCAAAAGCAGAAAGTTAAATCACAGAACTCCCAACAAAAAGGCTAACCAATGAGAGGCAGTAGACAAGCTTGGTGGATCTCATAACCTTTGACTCTATTGCTCTAGGCACCTAGACTCCCATTTGTTAGTGGTGATGCTTGCAAACTGAGGTAGAAATTTCTGATTCTTATTAAGACAGAAATGAAAATATTGTAATTATAAAAGAGAGAAGGCTCTTTTAATGCTTACTATGCGCCAGATACTCTGCTAGTTGTTGGGAACACAAGGATGAATAAAACAGGATTCTAGGCCTCAAGTGGCTCAGTGGGGTGGGAAAGATGGGCATGCACACATGATTATAATATGTGATATGACAATGCCATGGAGGCATAAAGAAGGGGGTATGACCCAGACTTCAGCACTTGCGAAAGGCTTCCTGGATAAGGCGCCATCAAATTGAATTGTAATTATGGATCATCAGTTGCAGAACTGTAATATCACCAGGGGCCTTACGTTATGCACTTATGCCACAGATGGAAACCATGCTGACATTACTCCATATAGATACCTGGTAGGTGAAAGGTAACAGAAAAAGATTATTTGCAGTCACATAAAATTACTTTTGTGGCCTCTAATTGTTTACTGACCTATAAAATCCAATCTAATCCAATCTCATTACATACAAAGATTTGAGAGTCTATTAATCCTACGTTTGGTGCTGCAGGAAATATAAAAATGAGTATGACATGGGCTCTGGCCTTGAAGAAGATGATGAGGGAAGAGGCAGAAGTTAAGCCAATTAACCTTTTTTTTTTAATGTTTGTTTATTTTTGAGAGAGAAAGACAGAGACAGACTACAAGCAGGGGAGAACAGAGAGAGAGAGAGAGGGAGACACAGAATCCAAAGCAGGCTGTCAACACAGAGTCTGACATGGGGCTCAAATTCATGAACTGCGAGATCATGACCTGAGCCGAAGTTGGATTATTAACAGACTGAGCCACCCAGGCGCCCCAAGCCAATTAACTTTTAAGACATAGGATCAAAACTCAAAACACAGAAAGGTAAACTTATTTGTTTTACAGAGGAGATTGAGGCCAAAGTATGACGTCCAAGCCATACGTAAAACAGGAGTGAATTTTAACAAGGTGAAATTGGTGGGTAACAATAAATGCAAAGACAGACATGGGAGGATACTGGTATATTCAGGGAACAGTGAGTTATCTATTTTTAATGGAAGATAGCATATGCGATGGGAATTAATACACTATACAGAGAGGCTGGTGTCACTCTGCAGAGGCTCCTAAATGCCAAATCAAAAAATATGTATTTATAGGCGATGGGGGTTACTGAAAATTTTGAGCAGGGGAGTAATAGATTAAAGTTGTACTTGGACTGGGAAAGCCTGCAAGTGGCATACAGTTGGGAATTTATTATAATCATCCAGGATGAGATATAATAAAGATATAAATGAGCAGAAAGAATAGAAGGGGACTACTGAAAGGTATACTACAGAGGTAGAGCCTACTGGACTCTGAATCATTGTGCAGTGGGTAAGAACAGAGGCTGTAGAGTCTCACTGATTGGGTTCAAATGCTTGCACCTCTCCTGACTGGCTGAGTGACCTTTGGCATTTTAAGCTCTTAGTTGGTTCATCTATAAAACGAAGATTTTACCTCATCAGATTATTGTGAATATTCAAATGAGATAATATTTGTAAAATATTTAGCTTAAGTGCTTGGCACATAGTAAGACAGCAAATGTAGCTTCTATTACAGAATAGCAAAATCGCAGAACTAGAAGACATTCCAGAAGCAATCCAATCCAATCTTAATCATATATGATACAACCAAGGCTGAAGAAGGTTATATCAATTTAATTTGGAAAGCATTTAGTCAGCTCCTATAGTATGCAAAGAACTTTCCCAAAACTAATTAATTACAAATTTGAAGGGCATAATGCAAACGAGTAAAAAAAAAGTCCTCATTAAACATAGGTTAAGAAACTCATGGTACCACTAACAGAAGGCAGGAAAATACAAGTCTCTGGAACTCCAGAAATTTACAGGTCTAACTGTGACTGGACTTGACATTGCTTAACATCTCTAACACTTAATGAAACAGGATGAAGCACAGAGGCAAGTTCAGAAACTAAAAGCTTAAAGCCCTATCTGGATAAATGCTGAATCCCAGGTTAGTTCATCATACTTTTCTCTCAACTTCTGTACATTTTGGAAAATTTTCATATGAGGAAAATGTTAAGGCAAGAGCAATATTAAGAAATACTAAAACGAAAAATAAACACCTCTTACATCATATATAAAATTAATTCATATAGACTAAAGAATTAAATATAAAGTTAAAAATATAACTCTTAGAAATAAACACGGATATACCCTTTGTGACCTTGGATTACACAACAGTTTCTTAGATGACACCAAAAACACAAGCAAAAAGGGGAAAAAAAGATAAATTTGACATCATCAAAATTAAAATTAGGGTGCTTCAATCTTTTTTACAAAAGGAGGGGAAAGGGACGGCTGGCTGGCTTAGTCAGTGGAGCACACGAGTCTCAATCTTGTGGTTGTGAGTTCAAGTCCCACGTTGGGTATAGAGACTACCTAAAAATAAAATGTCAGGGGTGCCTGGGTGGCTCAACTGGTTAAATGTCTGACTCTTGATTTCGGCTCCAGATATGATCTCACGGTTTGTGGGTTCAAGCCCCCATCAGGCTCTGTACTCTTTCCCTCTCTCTGCCCCTCCCCACTCTCAAAACACATAGATATTTTTTAATAATATCTTTTTTTTTTTTTTAATAATATCTTTAAAAAAATTATAGTGCTTCCTAAGATAAGCCCCAGAACAGAGACAATTTTTGCATATCATATATCTGATAAGGAACTTGTAGCTACAATATAAAGAACTCTCACAAGTGAATAGAAAGACAAATAATTTTAAAGTGGGCAAAGGATCTGAACAGTCATTTAGCCAAAGATGAGATAGAAATGGCCAACAGGGACATGAAAAGATGCTCAACATCATTAATCAGGGAAATGCAAATGCAAATCAAAGCCACAATAAGATACCATCTCACACCCACTAGGACAGCTAGAATCCAAAGAGCAGAATAGAAATGGTGAAGCCACTTTGGAAAATAGTCTGGCAACTGTTCAAAAGGTAAAATGTAGAGTTACGAGACAACTCAGCAATTGGAGCACCATTCCTCATAATAACCAAAAAGTGGAAACAACTCAATATCCATTAATTGATGAATGGATAGATGAAAAGAAACTGTGGTACATCCATACAATGGAATATAGTTCCACAATAAAAAGAAATACAAATACGTGCTACAACGTAGATGAATCTTGAAAATATTATGCTAACTGAAAAAAGGCAATGACAAAGAATGTATTATATGACTCTATTTATATAAAATGCCTAAAATGAGTACATCTAGAAAGTAGATTAGCAGTTGCTTCTGGCTGGCAGGAAAGGGGGAATTGGGACAAGATGACTGCAGGGTGCAGAGTTTCTTTCCGGGAGGATGAAATAATATCTAGACCAATATAAGCCCTTTGATGGGGTTGGAACTATATTTTTGTGTCTCTGCTATATTCATAGGACAGTGCTCAATAAAGACCTGCTCAATAAATTAAAGTTTTTGAAAATATCAATATTCAGTCTCCTAGACCCTAAAAACTTGGCAAGCACTACGAGGAGCTTGGTCTTTTAGTAGCTGATATTTGGTAGCTGAAATACTTTAAACACCCAGGGTGGAATCCTGTCTTCTCCAAGTATAGGATGTATTCATTCTAGGTTTTTTAAAAGACTGCATTCAGTAAAGCTTTAACCTATAAAATCAATCATGTCCTTATACACACACATATCTTTTACCTACTTTTACACATTGAATCTAGTTCTTCAATTGCTTGCTCAGCCTCCTGAATTTCTCGGTAAATGGCTGTGAGTGGCGCCAGCTCGGCATGCCTTCTAGTCAAGGCCCTTCGGTCACCTTCGTTTAGAGACATTCGCTGTAAACACTGATCAAGCGTACAGTACTCCTTGTTCAGGCCTTCCATGTATTTCTGTAGTCCCTTACGCTTCCACAGCATCCTGGTGTCTTGATGACAGTATCTCCTGGGACAATTCTTATTTAACAGATGATGGAGAATGAGATGCCTCTTTTGTCTAAAAACCCACAGCCTTGTATCAAGATGTCTCTGTGTAAACTGACGAGACTGGGGATGGATACGGCACTGGTGGAGACCATTACAAGTTGAATGTCTAAAAAGCCAAGCACACAGGTGGCGATTCATCTCAGCATCTGAAATATAATAAATACAATCTGGAAAAAAAAAAAAAAACAACTCTACAAATACAAAAGCTGGAAGAAGCCTCAAGAAATCTTGTTCAGTTTACCACCACAGCCAGCTCCAAACACTGTATTAAATCAGCAATTTTCTAGCAAGTACTCAGAATCTAGAATTGAGTATGTGAACAAGCACTTGTAAGGTATGAAATAATCATGCAAGCTTTAGGCAGTTCACATATTCATAGACTTCTAAAGTTTGAAGAAGATAGGGGCACCTGGGTGGCTCAGTCGGTTAAGCATCCGACTTCAGCTCAGGTCATGATCTCACGGTTTGTGGGTTTGAGCCCCACGTCGGGCTCTGTGCTGACAGCTCAGAGCCTGGAGCCTGTTGCAGATTCTGTGTCTCCATCTCTCTCTGACCCTCCCCTGCTCATGCTGTCTCTATCTCTTTCTCAAAAATAAATAAAACATTAAAAAAAAAAGACTTTAAAAAAAATAAAGTTTGAAGAAGATATTAACTGTTTTCTTGTCTAGGTCTTTAATTCTAGGTATCCAAATATCCAAGAAAGTCAAGTGACTTAATCATGATTACTCACTCAGCCAGACAGGCAGAGCTAATACTAGAATGCAGTTTTATTGTTCAGAGCTCAGTGCTTTCCATTCTCAATTCTGCAATCAGGTGCCTTCCTTTTGGCTGAGACCCTAAAGGAAGAAAACTTCAAATATACTAAGAAAGTAGGTCTGGTAAAAAGGGACAGTGGCGATAATTGCATTAAATAAAAAAGCAGAATGCAAAACAATATAATCTCAACTAGATTTTCAAAATTTTCTATGATTTATGGTATACATGTAAAAAAGGTAATCACTATTTTGGGGGTAGGGGGAAACCTAAAAAAGAAATATAGCAAAATGTTAACAAGATGATCTCTAGTTGTGGGCTTGTAGATGCCTTTTGCTTGCCTTGTAATTTTTCTACTTTTAAGTGTTTTTTAATTTTTCTACATGCATAGCTTGTATTACTTGTATTACGGTCAGGAAAAAATGGTTACTTAAAAAAATTACAAGTTAGGTGAAATTGGCTGTGTACGCTAATTATCTGTTCTTCTTCTCTCTAATAGACATAATCAGAAGCTAACAAAAGCACAGAGTAGTTTTATTAAGAAAGGGAAAAGATAAAGTATTTTAGGGAAAACACTTTGCCCTTAAAATTCTGAGGTTCAAAGTTGAAATAAGGGTCAAAATTTTATCAGAATCAACCTTTATTGTCTCTAGTGTTCCTACTATGCTAGGAAGTGCATTCATATATTATTAACTCATTTGATCACTGTAAATCAGCTAACTTGAATATCATAAGATCCTAGGAAATAAAATATTCAGAATGATCTCCAAAATTCAGGATTCTACTAACAAACTTTAACATACTGAATCACATTTGGAAAACCTGTATAAGAATGCACCAGTGCCCAACACCAAGAAATGTTAACAGTCCTTCAGCAGATTTCCAATGTCTTTACATCTAGTCTCTAGCACATCGGAGTAAGTGTGCCCATTTGAGAAAACGGACAAATCAGAGGGATCCCAAATTTTTGTCAGAACACTTTTGGCTAAAGTTTTCATCCTAGGAACAGTAGAGTGAATAACTCTTAAGGTCATGAACCTCAATGTTAAGAGCGGGGGGAAAACCCCAAGACCTTTTACTCGCTAAGGTTCCTATACCTGAGAACGGCAAGTCTTCTCCGTCACCCACCACAGGAACTGGATTACTCGATATTCTAGGGACAATTCTCAAGAGTCGGCAGGTCAGAGGTGACACTAAGCCTGCTCCAGAGCAGCACGTGTAAACCAGATTCTGCAACTCAGAATACGGAGTTCTTCCAAAGAGGCAACATGAAAAAAAAAATGGGGGTAGAAAAATGACCTTTAAAGATCAAAACCGAAAGAAAAAAACGTGAGTACCTAAGAAGTAAAAGGAAGTACGACAGCTTTCCTTACTGTAGCCGGAACCGTCTGCGACCTGAAGCATTTCAGTCCGACACACACTAGGTCACTTTCACTTCCGGGATCACTCCTTCCGGGTTAACGCTTACTCTCAGCCTCTCCGGAGTAGTCGTGGGCGTGCGTGTAGCAGCTGTCGGGAACACGAGAGAAAAATGACAAATCGAGAAAGAAAAAAAATGACAAGGCAAAAAAGACTATCCCAGGAGATGACTATGCGCGCACAGTACTTATCCGGAGCTAGAGCCCAGGGCGTGGGTTGCGATGGGGGGGGGGGCGGGGCGGTGGCGGAATGTAGAAGGAAATACAACTCCCAAAGCTCCCACCCAGGAATCCTGGGAGTTGTAGTTTATGCCCCGGCTGCCTCCAATGGACCTTTGGTTTCATAGTTACCAGCAAATACAGGAGAGAGATTCTCTACCATTCTGATTAAGAGATCAACAATTGCAATATAGTAATTTGAAATTAAGAGAATTGCCTTATAGGTGGAGCCATTAAAGCAGTGGTTCTTTAATTTTTTTTTGAGGGCTCCCTTTTCATCACCCCCAAATTTGGGGATTGTGAATGGTTTTTTTCATTTTTCCTTTTTTTTTTTTAATTTTCCTGTGGGATTCTGCATGTTAAAAAAATTTTTTAACGTTTTTTTTTTTTATTTTTTGAGAGGGAGAGAGATAGAGCGTGAGCGGGGGGGGGGGGGGGGGGCAGAGAGCTAGAGATAACAGAATCTGAAGCTGGCTCCAGGCTCTGTGCTGGCAGGTCAGCACAAGGGGCCTGGACCCACTGACCCTGAGATCATGACTTGAGCTGAAGTCAGATGCTTAACCGACTGAGCCACCCAGGTGCCCCAGGATTTTGCATGTTAATAGCTGTACGTTAAGCTTACACTGCTTGAGAAAATACCTAGTAACAAAAGGAGGATATAAATTTGTATTTTTAAAAATCATAAGAGGATCAAAAAGATAGAACACTACGTATATCCACACATTAATGACTTTATAGATGTTGCACACACATACAGAATTTAAGGGCTCAAACTAGGTTCATAGCTTGTAAACTACCAATTAAATAAATAATTATAAAAATCGAACTAATAGACAATTCCAGGAGAATGCAAACACATTGCCTTACTTTGGAGACTCCACTGGCAATCACATTTACAAGTTGCACGAGAGCTGTGTCTCAATATCACTTTCTGAAAAGCCAAGGTAAACATTATCTCATGTAACCAAATTCATAGGATATTTTCTTAGGTTATGACCACATATAAAAATGGCAAATTAACCCTAAATGTAAATATCTAACATCACCTACTTAAGGGCATTAGTATATATTAAATTATATACTAAATGGTTGAAACCTATTAATTTAATCCATACCACAACAACCCTAAAATACTCATTTTGTGGAAGAGGAAAAAACTAAGGCATAGAGAGCTTAAGTAACTTGTCCAAGGTAAAAGAACTGGTGAGTAATAGAACTGATTCAGTCAAGGCAGTCTGTCTTAATGATATGTGGCTCCTAAGCTTTGATACTCTCCCTCCTTCAAAAAAAGAAAACAATCATTCATTCAATAATGAGTACCAGTTATGTGCTACATGGTGTTCTGGATATGAAAATTTAGCAATGACTAGTAAAGACACAAAACTTTGCCTACATGAAATTTATTTTCCAGTAGAGAACAAATTCCAAGGGATCCACATAAATCATTTTCCTAAATTATCCAATGAAATCCCTTAATAACGTATTTTGATTTGTGTATGCAGACATGTAGCTTAAGTATTATAATACATAACTTTATTTTCCTTAAAAAATAAGTCTTACTGCTATGGAGCGAATTGTGTCCCCTGCTTCCCCAATCTAATATGTTGAAGCTAGCCTCCAATATGACTGCACTGGAAACAGTGCCTTTGAGGTTAAATGAGCCATAAAGGTGAAAGCCTGATCTAGTAGCATTTGTGCCCTTATAAGAAGAGACCTCAGAGAGCTTGCAGGCTCTCTCTTCCTTTTCTACCCACCTTTCTTTTTCCAAGACAAAGAGGCCTCAGAATGAAACCTACCTTGCCAGCACCTTGATTTTGGACTTCCCAGCCTCCCAAAGTGTGAGAGTTTTTCTGCTGTTTAAGTCACTCAGTTTATGGTATTTTGTTATGGCAGCCCAAGCAGACTGACATTTGCATATGTAAAAGTTTATTGAGATACAGTACATGAAACTTTCTGTACTTTATGTATTTTATTTCTCAGTTATAAAAAATCCCTAATGACGTTTATCTCGGGTAATTATAAATACTGCTTCCTCCTTCATGCTTCCTCCTCTGTTTTTTAAAAAATAATATAATGTGGTATATCTATATTTATTAATACACAATGATGTCCACAATTTATCATTAAACAAAAGATATTGCTAAAAAAAAAAAAGGTTGGGGAAGTGGGGGGGGGACAAAAAAACAACTCAGCAAACTATTCCATTTGAACAACATATGTGATGTGTATATATTTAAAAGCCCAGTGGAGGGATGCCTAGGTGGGTGGGTCAGTTGGCTAAGCATCCAGCTTCAGGTTAGGTCTTGATCTTATGGTTCCTGAGTTTGAGCCCCACATTGGCTCTTTGCTGACAGTGTGGAGCCTGCTTTCTCAAAATAAATAAATAGACTTTAATTCTTATTTTCTTTATAGTATTCTGGATTTCCTGAATGCTCATTTCATGATAACATTATTATAAACAAGACAGCTATAAAAGAGGGAAAAAAAGTACATTCTTTAATGTTTGAAAAAGCCTTATGGGAGTTACTATTACTGAATCATTTTATAAAGTTAACTTCTACTTCCAAAGAGCCTGATATATTACAGGAAACATTTTTCTGGAAATAGTAATAAAAAGGTTGATTCAGTGAAAATAAAAGTGTTTGATTAAATTAGCAGCAAGAGCTACTATGTCTGAAATATTTCTCACTATAAAGTTGATCTCATAAAAATTCTTTTATGAATGTATGTGTAATGGGCATGACAATTGGTATGCCTTTAACACTAAATGACCTATGTCCTTTTCCTCTGTCTTTGAGCAAACTCAAACACCAAAATACTTGCAGCTATTTTTCAGATACATTTATACCAAACTTAGCCCAGTTTCCAAGGGGTAGAGAATGGGGATTTTCACTTAGCTTTTTCTCAGAGACCTCCAGATTGTTTTATTATTTAAAAAATTTTTTAATGTTTAGTTATATATGGGGGGAGGGGCAGAGAGAGATGGAGACAAAGTCCAAAGCAGGCTCCAGGCTCTGAGCTGTCAGCACAGAGCCTGATGCAGGGCTCGAGCTCACCAGCTGTGAGATCATGACCTGAGCCAAAGTTGGACACTTAACTGACGGAGCCACCCAGGCGCCCCAATCTCCAGATTGTTTTAAAGATTCTGAGGACACTCTTGTGTCCATAGTACTAAAGAAGTTTGATCTGTGTCCTTCTACAGGGATTCCACATCGAAAAGCATCCACTTGGGGCTTTTACCCTGAGAGAAGCAGAGCACCAGGGTTTCCTCAGCCCTGGATATTCTATAAGGAGTCAAGCCAGGGTGGGTGTAGAGATTGTTCCAGGCTAAGATGAAACCTTTGGGCCTATCTGGGGAATATCCAGAGGTGCTGAAAGCAACATAAACTCTCAGGACATAAGCCATAAAACACTACGGGTCACAGCACACTGTGACATGCACCTTGGCTTTCTGGTTCACTGGAGTTTAGGGTCTTGACCACATCCTGAGGCATTATACAATGTGAAGATTGGCAGCCATTTGTATTGGCAGCAGAATACAAAGATGAAAAGGCAGCATTTCTTATTTTCATATATTCGTACTAGTTTCCAAATTTTTCTTAGCTTTCATTTAAAAAAAAAAAGCTAAGAAAGGCGCCACCTGCTGGCGTTATTGAAATTAGATCTTTTCTTATTTTCAGAGTCAGAAGTTTAAGAAGTCAACCTACTCTTTTTCTTTTACTATTAAAAAAAAAAAAAAGGCAAAGGCAGGACAAAGAACTGATCCTGGAAACTCACTTTTATTCCACCCTTAACTGGTATTAGCCTCAGTTGTAAACAGCTTTGACAAGCTCTCCTAAGACTTCTTGGTAATTTCATCTCTTCTATATATCATCCTGAATTTCAGGCTAAATATTTTTCTTAAATCATTTACTTCGGTTTTGAACTGTATATTTTCAGATCATTGTTTCAGAAAATTTTATTTTCCCATTTTTTTCTCTTAAAAGTGGTATTTGAATACCCTTTATAAGCATTAAAGTCTTTTCCAACTTAGATCCAAAGGGGTCTACATGGAGGAAATCTACAGAGTGTGTATGTGTAGACATTCATCTTTCCATTTCCTCCCTTTGTATTACAACAATTTTCAGATTGTTCGAAATTCGGGAGAACAACATAATGAACCCCTACGCACCAGTCCCAAATTCTCAAGTTATCAATGCAGTGTTACCTGCCCTCCTCCCTCTGCCTGCTCCCCATATCCTCACTGGATTGCTTTGAAGTAAATACAAAACATCTGTAAATATGTAAGCACATAGCTCCAGAAAATAAAACCTTTCTAAAAATAGATTTAGCTCCCCAAATTAAAAATAGCTTCCTAATATTATCAAATCCCCAATTCGTGTTCAACTTTCTCTCACTGTATCAGATTTTTTCTTTGGCAGTTTGTTCATATTGGTATCGAAATAACGTCCACATATTGCAATTTCTTGCTATATTTTTGGTTTGTTTTAATCCATTCCTTCCATCTTTATTTCTCTTGCAATATATGTGTTGAAGAAACTAGATCTTTTGCCTTGAGGAGTTTCACACTATCTGGATTTTCTTAGAATTGTGTTGTAGTGTTTATCATGTTCCTTTGTTACCTGTATTTCCTATAAACTGGTCCTTGGCTTGATCAATTCAGATTTAAATTTTTGAGGCAAAACTACCTTATAGGTGGGCGAGATACTTCCAAAGGGAGGGGCAAAATATTTAGTTGTGTGTTTTAAAAATGATACTAGAAGCTCCTGATTGCCTAGACCCATTATTTCACTAGAGGTTGCAAAATGGTGATACTTTATGATTCTTTCTCCATTTACTAGCTAGAACCTCTATAAAGAGAAAATGTTAGCT